GAGGGAGGAATGGGGTACGAGCCCCCGATGGGGAGGACTGAGGTGTCTCTGCGGGCTCCTCGGGGTGGAAGCTCTCTGGCAGCCCCCCGATTGACCCCCCCTCCGGATGGCAGCCTGCAGCAAGTGCAGCCGGGCTGATGGCCGAGTGCTGTGATGTGCTGAGCCAGGCTGTCCCTCATCGAGTTAGACAAGCGAGCGGGGAACCCTGAGAACTGTCTCTCTGGGGTGGGGGTCGGGTCCCTTTAAGCACAGCCCTCGGCTAGCCTGAGACACCTGTTCCGGCCAGCCTTAACTTCAGTTCAGGGTCCACTCAATGTGGACATGCTAATTCGAATTAGCAAAACGCTCATTTGAACTACTTTTTAGGTCCAGATGCACTAGTTCGAATTAGCTTAGTTCGAATTAACTAATTCAAATTAAGTTAGTTCGAATTAGCGCTGTAGTGTAGACAGACCCTGGGTGACTAATTGTCCCTGCCGGCCAACGGGCTCTAGTACCTGAGCCCAGTGAGGTTTGCGCAGGTGCCTCCTTGAACAGAAGGCGAGAGCCCTGCACTCGGTGTCTCTCTGCAGTGAGAAGCCCGGCAGCCTTTGCTTTGCGCACAATGGAGAATGCTGAATCCTCGGCGTCCAGCGCGGACAGGAGCTGAGCCCCGTGTGCTGTTCGCTCCCACGAGCAGAGCCCCGCACGGAGCCCGTTCCCGTCCCGCCTCCACGGCCTGGCCCCGGCACCCTCACTGCCCATCCCCCTGCCTGCGCAATAAAGGAAACTCAGCGGAATCCGACGCCTCGGTGGTTTTCCCGCTCTCCTAGAAGGGGCTCTGCTCTGCAGGGTCTCTGCCAGGCCCCGAGCTAGCGACCTGCATGTGCAACCACCGGGCACGTTCCCAGCGTCTGGCTCCCTCTCCGAGTGCTAGCCATGGGCCAAGTCATGGGCAAAGCTGCAGCAAGAGGCCGTGGCTGGGGGAACAGCCGGGGCGAGTGGGGATGGCACACGGCCAGGGGGGCACAACCTGCACCCGGAGATGGGCGGGGTTGCAGGACTATCTACTTGGGCCAGCCCCTCCGGCCCTGCTGAGGGTGCCCCAGCCAGATAGGAGGTTGGAAAGGGGCCCATGCGGCTCAGGGCCGGTGAGGCTGGGCTGGAGAGCAGAGCTGCCCTGCGGGCTCCTGCCAGAGAGGCTGCACAAAGCTCAGGGGGGAGCTCCGCGAGGCCAAATGCTGCTGCTGTTCCCCCGAGGGCTCAGCCCTACCACCGAGCGGACACTAACCACTAGGCTCTGGGCCCACCGAGGACCCGTTGCAGCTTCCATCCCAGACACAGGTGGGGCTGAGCTGTGCATGGCTTGTCCTTCTCCTGCCCTGGGAGCCCTTGTGCCCACGTGGATCCAGGCGGGGTGCCCTCCCCTCAGCACCAGCAAGCCCTTGTTCCTCCCATCGCCTCCCCCTGCCCGGAGGCCCAGGAGCTGCACGCTCTGCCCGTCTCTTCCCAGGGGCCTGTCTGCACGCTCTGCCCGTCTCTTCCCAGGTTGCCCTGGGGCCTGCGCTGCACTATTGGCTGGACCCCCTGTAGCTCTCGGACCTTCCCAAACGTGTCCAGCATCACCCAGGCTGGGCTCAAATCTGCCCCCCGAGCGCCCAGTGCAGGGCTGAGTGAAGTTAATTTTTGTGTGTCCTGGTTTTTACTGTAGGGCTGAGATTTCCCACGTGACCTCTCCCCTGGCTTTCTTATCATTCCTTGGGTGGTGGCAGTGGATTTTTATTCCCCAACGTCTAGGTTTTAAGATTTTGGGGGGAAGTTTTCCCTGTCGCCCAGAGTGGGGCTGAGTAGCTGGGCTGTCAGGAGGTGAGACCCAAAGCCAAGGGCATTTCCCGACAGCAGGCTGGCTGGAGAGAAGGGCTGGATCTCACGTCGGGCTGAGCAGGGAACTGGGCACAGCTCCCAGGAGCCACCGGGAGCTGCAGGGTCAGCGCCTCACCTGAGTCCTGGTGGTTTAATGAGGCGGGGCCATCGCAACGATGCTTTCAAAGTGGGGCAGGTGGGCACAGAGAATCTCCCCTGAGCATGGGGCTCTCCAGGTGCCATGTCAAGACCTGCTCCCCCATCCCTGCAGCTGCCGCAGGGCGCACACCTGGGGAAAGGCAGGATCTGAAGTCCTGGAACCTCCAGACATTGGAAACAGCTTGTCGGGGTCACAGGCCATTGGAATGAGTTTCAGCTGCTCTCAAGCGCCTGCAGACTGAGCCAGGCACCGGCCCCAGGCACAATACGGGCAAGGTCCGGACAACATCCCAGTGACTCATGGCCAGCCCTGCCCCCGCTGCCGGGCCCTGCGGTGGGATCCGGCCAAACGAGGCTGGTACCACTGCAATTGTTCAGGGGCTTTGCTGGGCGGTGCCTGTACCCTGCAGCCTGAGCCGTACGTAGCGCACTCGCAGTCACGACAAACAGGAATTCCCAGGCTTGGGCGGCATGTGCCCCATGGGATCTCTCAGCCCACAGCACTGCCCCGATAGTCACTGCACCAAGGGTGTGCCCGGCAAGTCCTCCCGCCTGCCCTGTGCAGATAAGGGCAATTGCAGGCTGTCAGCAAGGCTGAGATCCTAGGAGCTGTGAGCGACTATTTCAGATGAAGTCATAAAGCGGGCGGGTTCTCCGGCACCCTATATATCGCCAGGCTCCGTCTGGGGGTTTACGGAGGGAGCAGAGCACCGAGAGCCCAGTGCAGACCAGACAGCCGCCTCGCCATGACGATCACAGGGGCCGTTCTGCTCTTCGCTCTGGCCCTTTACTGCTCCTTCTCGGGTGAGTCACTGAGCCCTGCTCTGATACCTCTGCCCCTGGAGGGACGGGGTCGGACTCACTTGGATCTGTATGGGGGTTCCCACCCCCACATTCACCGTGGCTGAGTCCAGGAGCAGCCGGTTTATTTCCGAGGCTGCGTCTAGACTGCAGGCTTCTTTCGGCAGAACCGTTTTTCGGAAGAGATCTTCCAAAGAAACTTCTTCCACAGGAAACTTCTGTCCATACACAGCAGCACATTGAAAAAGCGATGTGCTGTTTCGAAAGAGAGCATCCACGTAGAATGGACACTGTCTCACGTGTACGCTGTCATTGCTCTGGACGGAAGGGCCACCAGGGCCCCTGTGCTTTTCCCTCTTTCCTCTTCTTTCGAAAGAACTCCCCCTTCCCCGTCCACACGGGCCGGTTTGCGAAAGCCTCTTTTGGGAAAAGGCTCCTTTCGATTTAATTTCAGAAAACACGATTGCAGCGTGGACGTAACTGGAGCTTTTTCAGAAAAACGCTGTAGGGCAGACAGAGCCTGAGATGTCCCTGCACTGTCCTGAGATGGAGCAGCAGGCTGGTTCCATGAGCTCTGACTGCCCGGACCCGATCCCACGGCTCTGAAGGGCTGTTCCGGGGGTTCTCTCTGCCTGGGAGATCCCTGACTGCCAGTAACTGAGACAGCTCAGAAGGTTCCCAGCTCCTACAAATCCAATGTCCCTGTGATCCCCTTGGCTGC